TTTTGTCTTTTATTTTTTAATATAAAATTATGCATGGTACTTTTAACTGATTAAAAACGAATGTAAATAAAGGTAAATTACTCCATATATTTTTTTTTTCATTTTAATTGTTATTTTATTTTTTTTATATTTTCGTAAATATTACCGATATAAACAAGTTCAGTTTCTATCATTAATGGAGAGATGATTCTACGTGAATGTCTGAGACGCAGTTGCGGATACAAATATAGCAATTACATTTATAGAAATATAAATGCAATTGATTCACTATGAGTTATAGTGGAAAATGACAGTAGATACACAAATATAATAGAATAAAATGTTGATTAGTTTCTGATTAGCTGTAGGATATAGGATAGGATTCGATTAACTACTATTTGTTTCAGTCTGGAACCCTCAATCCTGTATCCGATCCCCACCTGTGTCAGCTTGTGGGATAGCAGCACTGTAATTCACAGATGCCTGTTGACCTTAATTAAAAACAAATCAACCATCATGTTTTGACAAATTTGTATTTTTTAAGGTATTGCATAGCCCTGCACACCAAGCACTGCAGGTGTAATCAATATGACATGGTATGAATGCTGAACACAGAAGTATCTAAAAAACGGGCCTGTCGGTAACAGGCTCGTAGCAACGGAAAAGGGGTTGTGTGGGAGGAGGGCTGCCCCCTCCCCACTTTTTTTCAAAATATATCTGTTACTATTGAAAATGTGGTTCAACTAGGGTATACGGATAAGTAGTTCCATAAAACCGATTAACATCTTTCAAATTTAAAATTTGATAAGAAATAGTTCCTTCTGTAGTAGATAGTGGGAATATTTTGCCTTATTACCCCAAATAAATCCTTTTAAAAATAGTCCATAAAAGTCCCCTTTACAAAAATCTTTTTACAATTCCACATTAAACCTACAGTGACATCAAAAGGGTCGACAGGTCGACAGTTGACACCTCTTACTAATCAAAAGTGTCACCATAAAGGTCGACAGGATGACAGTTGACACCTCTTATTGGTTAACCTACAATGTCATCACAAAGGTCGACAGGTCGACAGTTGACACCTCTTATTAATTTTCAAACCCATCTGAGATATCAGGGTTAGTTTTCAAATCCACTTGAGAGCTAAGGGTTAGTATTCAAACCCAGCTAAGAGATAAGATTTAGTACTTGAACCCTCTGAGAGATTAGGTTTAGTTTCAAACCCACTTGAGAGATTAGGGTTAGTTTCAAACCCACTTGAGAGATTAAGGTTAGTTCTCGAATCCACCTGAGAGATTAGGGTTAGTTCTCGAATCCACCTGAGAGATAAGGGTTAGTTCCAGAACCCACCTGAAAGATGAGGGTTAGTTCAAAAACCCACCTGAGAGATTAGGGTTAGTTATCGGACATAGAGGGACTAGGGCTGTTCCTCTATCCAACCTAGGAGTTAACCAGTCGACCTGCCGACCCGTCTACCCGTCGACTTGTCAACCTGTCGACCTGTCAACCTGTCAACCTGTCGACCTGTCAACCCGTCAACCTGTCTACCCGTCGACCTGTCAACGCGCCGACCTGTCGACCTGTCAACCCGTCGACCTGTCTACCCGTCGACCTGTCGACCTATCAACAAGTCGACCTGTCTACCCGTCGACCTGTCAACCCGTCGACCTGTCTACCCTTCGACCTGTCAACCCGTCGACCTGTCGACCTGTCAACCTGTCAACCCGTCGACCTGTCGATCTGTTTACCCGTCGACCTGTCGACCTGTTTACCCGTCGATCAGTCAACCCGTCAACCTGTCAACCAGTCGACCTGTCAACCCGTCGACCTGTCTACCTGTCAACTTGTCGACCTGTCCACCCATCTTCTGCTGGAAAACATCTTCTTATTTTCTTTTCATTATCTAACAACGCGCATTAATTCGAATTTGGCGCATGAATCCAATTATAAAGCAAGGTGCATTAATTCATATTTGGCGTACGAAAATATTTTTTTCGGGACTACTTATCCGTATATCCTAGTTGAGCCGAAAAGGTTCATTGAAAAGCAGGTTGCACCCCCTCCGTTTCGCTACAGAAAAAAGAAATAAGGAAAAGGTAGTATTGGATTAAAAAAAAATTGGTGTCGTTACAGGAAAAGTTATCCCCGACCCCCCCCCCCCCACCCATGAAATAGGAATTTCGAGTTTGGGCAATTTTTCTTTTTTTTTCTCCTTGTCAACCTTTCTCGGGTAAGTAAGAAATTTCTCTGGCTGCCCCACCCCCTTTCAAAAACAATGCTACATCACTGAGAAAACGCAATCTCATATTTATTTTCTGAACAATCGATTCAACAAATGCATTCTCAACTTAAACATTAGTCCATCTCAACTCCAAGATAATAAACTTTTTCTTTATATTCAAAGTTATGGTTATTAAATACAGCCTGGAAATTTTGATCATTTTGAAGCTTTCTTTGGGAACCATAATTCATTCAGTTGTTTTCCTAAATGTAATGATAATTTATCATCTACAAGCCAATGAGAAGTCTGATCTAAAACTTTACTAAGCTTTTCTGATATAAAATCTGGATCTTTATATGCAAATAAAATAGCACTCTCACAGCGTTTAAAATAAGATTACAATCTGAGTCAACAAATGCTACCATGTCATTAACGTATTTTAAAAATAATAAAGAGCCTAGAATGCTGCCCTGAGGTACACCACATTTGATAATACCATCATCTGATGAAATTCCATTGCTGTAAAAAAACTTTTCTTTCAGACAAATAAGATAAAAACCTATCAACATATTGAACACGAATTTCCTTCAGTTTTTTTACAAAAGTACGTCATGGTCTACAGTGTCAAATGCCTTTTGCAGATTATGCAAAACCATGCCAGTATATAATTCCTTTGCAGTCTCTAATAAAATAAAATAAATGTAAGAAAAAGTTTCATTGGAGTACATATTTTTAAAACCAGGTTGAAATTCAATTAAAATATTATTTTGATTCGATGAAAAAAATAAGAGCGGGCCAGTGAAAAAAAATAATTTTATTACTATTTTGTAGAAACAGTTTTAGGCGGGGTTACAAAAAAAAATGAGACAATTATATTTTTACTGATTTGCAGAGTAAGCAGATTAAAAATACGATAAATAGAGCGGGAATGGAACAGAAAATAGCACAGAATTTCCATGGTGTGGGAATTTTCAATTAATATTATTTGTAAAATTTTGTTTAAATACGAGCGCGAGGGTCCGATGAACAAAAATTATCATCGGCAGAAAGTGATAAACTTCTATTTGAAGCTCAAAAACCTTGAACATCAGGCAAAATAACCAATTCACCTTTTCTACAGGGTATATATTTATGAATAAATAAGAAAGAGATTCTTAAAACCTATTAACATTTGTTCCTTGTACTTTAAAGATATTAATTTTTCCCTTTCTATTTTCAGAAACAACGACACAAATGATACAAAAACATTATGAAGTCGTAGGTCATCTATTTGTAAAAACCCGTGCGTTTGATAAAGTGAAGGAACTGTTGGACAAAAACGGGTATGTCATCATCAAGGGGAACCCTGGAACTGGAAAAACCACAATCGCCAAGATGTTGATGAAAGAATTGATGGAGGATGGAAAATCTCCACTTCAGCTTTACAGGTTGACAGATTTGTACGGAAGCATTTTACCAGGTGATGGTATAGTGGTATTCATTGACAATTTATTTGGAGAGATATCTTTGTCCAGCGAAACTGTTAAAGACTTTAAAGCAATAGAAGAGACAATTAAAGTGTTAATTGAGAGTCAGATAGATAGTAAATCAAACAGATTGATATTTGCTAACCCTAACCCTAACCCTAAGAAATGATATATATCAGGAATATGTACAAAACGAATGCAATGACGATGACGATTTTTTTATGTCGTCCTTGGTTGATCTATCAAGCAAGAAAGATGCATTGCTAAAGGAAGAAATAATACATTTATCAGAAAAATATGAATTGTCTAAATACATAGAAGACAAAGAACTTATCGATAAGGTCTATGAAATGCCATTAGCTATAGGGTTTCCACAATGTTGTAAATTGGCAAGTGGTAATGAAACTTTTAAGGAAAAGATATCTGCCTTTTTACCAAATACATTGATCTTTTTGAAAGACTACTTCAAAACTCTAATGAAAAATCGAACTGTAAAAATCGCTGTTTTAGTATATCTACTTCTGAGAGGAGGAAAAGTAGAATTCAAATTGATTGATAACCTTCATCTTGATTTAGAGATGAAACGCGACTCTTTAGAATTTGTAGGTCTACATAACTCATATATCAACGATTTTCAGGACAATATTCATTGTTTTGAAGGGTTTTTAATAACTCATGACACGATAGAAAATACCTATAAATTTACACATAGTTCAGTACAGGAATCTCTTTTCAGTGTCTTGTTTAATTTTGATTCTGAAAAAATGATCCAAATGTGTCATTCGTCCTTACTTCTGACACTGACGACATGTACAAACCCCAAAAGTACACAAGTCCACATAGATGAAAGATTGTTTAAATATGTTGCCCGCCGCATTGCAAATATAATTGGAGAAAGGTCAGTAAGTGGATATTCCTCCATATCATCACTGGAATTATGGGAAGATTCAAACTTCCATGAGTACATATTACAAACTGAACAATGCACTTCGATATTAAAAACATATTGTGATATCAAGGGGGATTCAATGATTGTGCATTTTTCAAAGGCAGGGAAAAAGCAATGGGTCGAATATTTACTTCCGAATTCAGAAAAAAGACAAAGATACAGATCACTTAATGCCGCTTGCTCTAAAAATCAACCCGACATTGTAAATCTCATTTTATCATCAGGTGTGGAATGTGATCTTCAAACTGGTTTTTATGCTGTACAAAGTGGCAATATAGAGTTATTGCTACGTGTGTGCGAGTTTGTTAATCTTCATCAAACTTCATATTCTTTGCATCCTATCTGGAGTTGCTTAAACCATAGCTTACTTCAGGAAATCTGTCTTATGCAACAAACACAATTAATTGGACAGGTTGTGGCAAAATATCCATTCCTTGTACATATTAAAAACAACCAAGGCGCCAATGCATTACAATCTGCAGCAAGTTCTGGAGATAAAAATGCATTTATTCATCTGTTAAAGTATGGTTGTGATCCATATGAAAAAGATCAAGACAATGGACACACGGTTCTTACTTGTGCTTGTCAGGATGGTAGGACAGACATTGTCAAATACCTTGTTGATAAATATCCTGCATTACTCAAGGAGCACACAGATGTTCATGGTAAAAGTCTCTTGTATTGGGCAGCTTTCAGTGGAAAAATAGATATGTTTGAATACATGCTTCATCTCCTTCAGAATGAAAATATACATCTTTCAAGTGACATAAAACATATGGTATCTGCAAAAGATAATTCAGGTCAATCTATGTTGCATGCTGCATGTAGCAATGGTCATTTTGATATGTGTGAGTATCTCTTGAAAACATACCCAGAATTACTGAATGTTACAGACAATGACGGTGAAAATGCTCTCCACTACACAGCTCGAGGAGGGAACGTAGATCTTTTTAAGTTTCTATCAAGTAAAGGATTAAATGTTAATTGTACAACAAATACTGGGAAGACTGTGTTACACATGAGTTGTGCTGGAGGTAGAGAGGAAATGTGTAGGTATCTTGTAAATAGGTATCCAGATTTAATATCTGTCATAGATAATGATGGATGGTCAGTGTTACATACAGCTTGCTTGGGGGGAAATGTAAAAATTGTTTACTTTCTGAAAGAAAAAGGAATGGACATTAATACCTTGTCAAATGATGGTCAAACTATCTTGCATATAGCCTGTCTCAGTGGAAAGATTGAAGTTTGTGAGTAATTAGTTAATAATTATCCCCATCTATTAGAGGTCAAGGACAAGTCTAGTGAGACAGCGTTGCATGACGCAGCCTGGGGAGGCAATGTTCAAATAGTAAAACTATTGATTGAGAAAAAGATGGACATCAATACCCTACAGGGAGGTGGTGAAACAATTTTACATCAGTGCTGTCGTTCTGGTAAAATGGAGATGTGTGAACATTTGGTCAATCATTATCCAGATTTATTGGAGATAAGGGACAATAACGGATGGACAGTGTTACATTCAGCTTGTAGTGGAGGAAGTGTTGAAATTGTTTCTTTTCTGATAGAAAAAGGGATGGATTTCAATGCCTTGTCAAATGATGGTAAAACTATCTTGCATATAGCTTGTCTCAATGGGAAGTTTGAAGTTTGTGAGTACTTAGTTAAGAATTATCCCCATCTATTAGAGGTCAAGGACGAATCTAGTGAGACAGTGTTACACGATGCAGCCTGGGGAGGAAATGTTCAAATAGTAAAACTATTGATTGAGAAAAAGATGGACATCAATTCTGTACAGGGATATGGTGAAACAATTTTACATCAATGTTGTTGTTCTGGTAAAATGGAGATGTGTGAATATTTGGTCAAACCTTTTTCAGATTTATTGGAGATAAGGGACAATGACGGAAATACAGTGTTACATTCAGCTTGCAGTGGGGGAAGTTTAGAAATAGTTTCTTTTCTTATAGAAAATGGAATGGACATAGATACCTTGTCAAATGATGGTGAAAGTATCCTGCAGATAGCCTGTCTTAATGGCAAGGTTGAAGTTTGTGAGTACTTAATTGAGAATTACCCACATCTATTAGACGTCAGGGACAAATCTAGTAACACAGTGTTGCATGACGCAGCCTGGGGAGGTAATGTTCAACTGAGAAAAAGATGGACATCAATGCCCTACAGGGAGGTGGTGAAACAATTTTACATCTGTGCTGTCGTTCTGGTAAAATGGAGATGTGTGAACATTTGGTCAATCATTTTCCAGATTTATTGGAGATAAGAGACTCTAAGGGGTGGACAGTGTTACATTCAGCTTGCAGTGGGGGAAGTGTTAAAATTGTTTCTTTCCTTATAGAAAAAGGGATGGATTTCAATGCCTTGTCAAATGGTGGTAAAACAATCTTGCATAGAGCCTGTCTCAATGGAAAGTTTGAAGTTTGTGAGTACTTAGTTAATAATTATCCCCATCTATTAGAGGTCAAGGATAAATCTGGTGAGACAGTGTTGCACAATGCAGCCTGGGGAGGTAATGTTCAAATAGTAAAACTATTGATTGAGAAAAAGATGGACATCTATTCTGTACAGGGAGGTGGTGAGACAATTATACATCAGTGCTGTCTTTCTGGTGAAATGGAGATGTGTGAGTATTTGGCCAATCATTTTCCAGATTTATTGGAGATAGGGGACAATGACGGATTGACAGTGTTACATTCAGCTTGCTGTGAGGGAAGTGTGGTAATTGTCTCTTTTCTTATAGAGAAAGGGATGGATTTCAATGCCTTGTCAAATGGTGGTAAAACTATCTTGCATATAGCTTGTCTCAATGGAAAGATTGAAGTTTGTGAGTACTTAGTTAATAATTATCCCCATCTATTAGAGGTCAAGGACAAATCTAGTAACACAGTGTTACATGCTGCAGCCTGTGTGAGTATTTGGTCAATCATTTTCCAGAGTTATTGGAGATAAAGGACACTGAGGGGTGGACAGTGTTACATTCAGCTTGCAGCGGAGGAAGTGTAGAAATTGTGTCTTTTCTACTCAATAAAGGATTAGATACCAATGCTTTGTCAAATAATGGGAAAAGTATTCTCCATAGAGCCTGTCTCAATGGAAAGTTCGAAGTTTGTAAATACTTAGTTGAGAATTATCCCCAACTTTTAGATGCCAGAGACAAATGTAGTAATACAGTGTTGCATGATGCAGCCCGAGAAGGAAATGTTAAAAAAGTAAAATTACTGATTGAGAAGAAAATGAACATCTTTTCCCGACAGGAAGATGGTGAAACAATTTTACATCAATGTTGTCGTTCTGGTAAAATGAGGATGTGTGAGTATTTGGTCAACCATTTTCCAGATTTATTGGGGATAAGGGACAATAGAGGAAGGACAGTTTTACATTCTGCCTGCTGGGGAGGAAGTGTAGAAATAGTGATTTTTCTACTTAATAAAGGATTAGACAACAATGCCTTGTCGAATGATAGTAAAACTATCTTGCATATAGCTTGTCTAAATGGGAAGTTTGAAATTTGTGAGTACTTAATTGAGAATTATCCCCATCTATTAGCGATGAAAGACAAATCTAGTAACAAAGTGTTGCATGACGCAGCCTTGGGAGGCAATGTTCAAATAGCAAAACTATTGATTGAGAAAAAGATGGACGTCAATGCCAAACGGGAAAATGGTGAAACAATTTTACATCAATGCTGTCGTTCTGGGAAAATGGAAATGTGTGAACATTTGGTCAATCATTTTCCAGAGTTATTGGAGATAAGGGACAATGGAGGATGGACAGTGTTACATTCAGCTTGCGGTGGAGGAAGTGTTGAAATTGTTTCTTTTCTTATAGAAAAAGGAATGGACATTAATACCTTGTCAAATGATGGTAAAACTATCTTGCATATAGCCTGTCTCAATGGGAAGTTTGAAGTTTGTGAGTACTTAGTTGAGAATTATCCCCATCTATTAGACGTCAAAGACAAATCTAGTAACACAGTGTTACATGATGTCGCTTCGGGAGGCAATGTTCAAATAGTAAAACTATTGATTGAGAAAAAGATTGACATCAATGCCCTACAGGAAAAAGGTGAATCAATTTTACATCACTGTTGTTGCTCTGGTAAAATGGAGATGTGTGAGTATTTGGTCAATCACTTTTCAGAGTTGATGAAGATAAGAGACAATAAAGGATGGACAGCGTTACATTCAGCTTGCTGTGGGGGAAGTTTAGACATAGTTTCTTTTCTATTAAACAAAGGATTAGACATCAATGCGTTGTCAAATGTTGGTGAAAGTGTACTACATGTTGCTTGTCTGAATAGTAAACATGATGTTTGTAGGTTTTTATCAACAAATCACGAAGACCTGTTAGCAGTTAAAGATAATCAAGGTAAATCAGTGATAGATATTGCCGCTGAACAAGGTGACATAGACCTGATTCATATTTTGAGAGAACGCCGCTATTAGGAACCTTCTTAAATCATCATTAATTCTGTATTTTCATGAAAGAAATGCTGAGAAAATTCAATGAACAAACTTTTTCATAAAATAAGAAAGGTTAAAATTAATAACACTTACATTAAAATGTGATTTACCCCTTGTAATCATGCAGGAAAAAATAAGAAATTAATATATTTTGAAATAGACGAAGATAGTGAACACTGATCAAATCCTTTATACAAAAAAATTGAGAACATTTCACAAACAAAAATATCTGAAATCTTCAACGATAAGACAAGATGTCTGGCTAGATGAGAAGTTTGAAATATTGACAATTTGTATGTAGCTTTATTTTTACTCTCTAGAATCTCTGGAAATCTTTTAATGTTCAGTGTATTGATTTAGATCCAAAGAGTCTTATTAGATTTTTTTACTTAGTTTCATTTTTAGATTGATCAACGTTTATTATCTTTACCTTTTAATATATTACTTTGCTTTACGAACAACATACATCTTTTTTATACAAATATGGGATTGGAATTGTAAAATGTTCGCAGGTTCTTCAAATGATTCAGTACCAGATCTGTCATCAGTATGCTTTTTAAGAGAATTCAAAATTATGGAGACTTGAAAAATGTTATGAAAATAAAGTGCCCCCGCTTTAAAAAAAGATATCTTGTAATCAATATTAAAAAAATGATCTGTAGAAATCATATTCCTGCAAATATTCTTTAATTTATTATGTCGTACAGTTTTCGAATGCTATTAACTAAGATTTCATTTGTTTATATAAACAAGAAAGTTAAAATAAATCGATTTGACATTTATAGCTCAAAAGATATGTGAAAATCATTTAGAGCTAAATTATTGTTGTATATTCAAATACTTTATTTAGAAGATTGAATGTGAAGAGTATGCAAGTTCTTATATAATTTTATTTCGTTATTATTTGAAGTGATATATGCATGAAAGGGATTTAGTTTATGTTTTATGAATTAATGGCCTTATATGTTTTTATTCATAGTTGTGTTGCAATTGTTTTCTTTGTGAAAATATGAAATTTTCATCAGAGTAATGGAAAAATATGTTGATTTTGCATATATATATGGTTTTAATTTTTTCTCAAGATATTCTTTGAACGATTGAATGTGTAGTTTATTAATGTTTTTAATGTTTAATTTTTGGTATCGTCTGAATATTTTTATTGATTTCGTGTCGTATTTTGCCTTTATATAAATATAGGAAAGAACTGTGAATGTTCTCCCGCCGCCTACCCCCAGGGAATTTTTCAAAAGTTAACAGATACCAATTATTGTTAATATTTATATCGATATTTTTATGGATTTTCATTGAAAACATCACTTATTTATGAAAACAAAGAGAGATAAATGCATGGTTTTGGTAAAACTTGCGTTTTCACTTTAGAAGTCAATGGAAAACGCGATAAAATAAATAACCCCTAGGAAACAAAATACCCTTTATTCAGGTTATATTGACTGCCATTTCACAAACTAATGCTGAAATGCGTTGTGTTTCACGGAGAGGGATGGGGCATTAGGGGCATAAGTTTATAGACAAAAAAGGACAAACAATTTTTTGTTTTCAGGGAAATTTAAAAACGATTTACAGTTAAAACATTATACTTTTTTAATTTTACTGTAAAATACTTTTTTTCCACGGGGTCATAATTGCGTGGAATCTCAATTTCTGTTTAATTCGCTGGTAGGAAATTATGCGGATTTCTGTCACTATATATCTTACATTTATATTAAGTTCGCTTGGACAAATTTCCGCGGAAAATTTGTGACAGCGTACATAGCGTAAATTTTTGTTTACCACGCGGAAAAAAGTCAACGTCTTTTTAATACAGTATTTATGTGTTTAATTTAGAAGAGAATATATAAGGAAAATTTATCTCATTAAAGACTTTTATATAAATATAACATGTAGTTGAGTGTAAAATTGAAAATTTTCACCCCAAGAAAACCATTGTAAACCGATCGCGAGGCGCATTACATGTATACTGAATGTTTTAAACAAATACATATAACAGTGAACAATGACTTTAATAAACAAGACTCTTGATATTCTTGTTTCATCAACTTGTTTGTCAACAATATACCTCGTTTTAGAAACTATTTATGCATAAAGCATGCTCTTGCATATCCAATAAACTGAGAAATATACTCTCCGTATACAGGTGATAAAGGTATATTGCTGTATAAGTAAAGAAAGTTGACAATTGTAAGGTGAAAGCCAGCATGTTATCATAGATTTTGGTTGTCGGGTTACCATTAACGTTTTTTTTTTCAAGTAAATTACGTAAATAGAAAACAGACGTGTCAGATTCTTATTTTTTCTTATGCTCACAGTACCACATTGCACATCTCTAGAGAACCGTTGTCATTATGAGAAATGAAACTTTCGCCGCCCTTAACTTTGCTTGAGACTAGCAAGTCAGATTAATTGAAAAATTCACAACTTTTAAAAAGCACAATTCAAACTACTAGTTCCCACAATTATTGCTTTAAAGAAAATATCACTCAATTTTTCGTTACAAATCTCAAAATTCTAGTTACACGAAATCAAAACATTCCTCGATATTTTGTTTTTACCAGAAACTTTATATAAATAAGGAACAACAAAGGCGTCTCAGATTGTGAGAGGTAAATTTTCACAACTTTATAATTGCTTCGGTTTATAATTTGAAGTTTTTGTTGCATCTCAAATATCAAAATCTAGAAAAACACCTGAAAAACGTCAGATATTTTGGACTAATTTTCTGCACACAGAGCTCTTGAGCTGTGAGGGATGGTTATCTTGCCACCACCTGACGCGACTCAGGTTATCGGTTTTTGAGGTCCGACTGACCCATTTCCTGAAGTTATAATGCCGAGCGCTTGGCAAAGGAACAATCACTATCTTTGCTTATAATTTATGTTAGGACACGGTGCAGCATTCGAACACTGGATTTCTTATTGGAAAGCGAAACCAAATTTTTTGTCAACTGTAATTGATAAACGATAATTTTGTAATATGAAAACCTCTTTGTAAAATTCTTCGGTTTTGGGGGTTGGGTACATTAGTCATTTAAAACAGTTTGACTAGTTTTTTGGCATTAGATTTCAAACAATCAAGTGAGGCCTATTTAGTTTACTTACCATATTAGAGCAAAGGTATCCACACTGTGTAAATCTCTTCAGAGTATTTTTTTCATTCTCTTTCATGAGTATTGAATTTTAACTTTTTATAAGCATGATAATTCTGTAAAAAGTCTAAATGTCAATTTTAAACGTTAGGCATAATTTTCATGCATGCAAAATTTGATAAAAATCAACTTAAAACTTTACAACTGTTTATAAGCGAATAAAAGTCAGTAATTCTAACAATGATGTTCTACCCAGCATATAGTGGTAAAATGTTGTAAATCATAATGACCATGACACTTTGAATAAGTTTATTTAAAAAAATATTTGAAGCATATATTTGATTAACTAACTCAGAACATAAAAACATATTATAAGATGAATTGGAGAAGATACGATGGATTTATTCAGGGAAAAAAAAAAACAGATTTTTAATCTTTGGAACCATTAAATTTGTTGTTCATATGTCTTCTTCTTCTTTCTTTGAAAAAATCATATCTTTGGAAAAATGCATTGACCATTACACTTTGATCAATCAATTATTAAGCATTTGCTACATAAGATTATATATTGCATGAAATGATGAACGAATAATATGTGGTACCATTAATAAAACCATTACACCTATAAATATATCAAGTGTAAAATCACATATATTTCCCATATAATACATGTATCTATATTAAAGAGCACACACTTTTATTTGTATTAAACAGTTGAGTTTTATGCGAAAACAATCATGACAATATCGGAGTATTGCTTTCATTTTTAAAGATGTCACGTTTCCGATAATAGGGACCTACTCTGTCACTGATTATTACAAATAAACATTGAGTGATTGACTAAGAAAACAAAAACTTTACAATAACGCGCTATTTATTTGAGCAATAAATGTGTGAAGTACATTGAAAAATGCACTAGACATAAGCTTAGCTACATGTAAATAACAATTTTCTCAACTTTAGTTTGCAGTTCCGCGCACATTGGCGTCGAAATTACGAACTCTATATGTCAATACATAAAAGAGAAGAAGCTAAAAATGGCTTATATAGCACAACTTTATTTCGTGGCCACGAATTTTTTTTTAAATAAACAACATATTATAAGAATGTGGCCACGAATTTTATTTATTCAGGAAAATATTTATTTCGTGGCCACGAACTTTATTTCTTTCCCACGAAGTTTTATTTCGTGGCCAAGAATTAATAAAAAAAAATTCTCGTACCATGTCCTATACCAGCCATCGTAAGAAGCAATTACAAAAAATGCAATTAATTTTAGCAATATTAAATTTTAGCGATCCTGGCACCCTCGCTTATAATGTACAAATGAAATCTTCGCGCAGTTTAAATATGTTTAAACGAATATTTTTAACAAATACATATAAACTTGCGCGCATAATTTTGCTATTTTTTGTAATACCACCCGTCGTCAAGCAATGTTGACTGTTGCTACTCAGGAGGGCGTGGCTTAATTATTCAGCGGGTAGTAGTGTTTTTTATCAAATGTTTCTCGACGAATCAGATTCAATAATTTACATGAAAGTATAATATTATGAAATAGTAAACCCATTGTATACAGGACGCATTGACATTATGAAAGGTCTTATAATAATATGTCATATGAAACTTCAAATTACGGATTGAAAAAGTTTTATCCCAGAAGCTATAGTTTCTTTTAACGTAAGGAACATCGATGACCGAAAAGTCATTCCAATTTCTTGACAGAAAAAAGTAATAATCCAGGAGCATCGATATTTTGAAAATTTAATGAAAAGTTAGATGAAAAGTTAAAGGAATTAAAGATTCAAAATATATACATGTATATCGTATAAGTTGAAATATTAGCGAAATTCAAATTCAGCGATTTGTCCTTAAAATT